TTTTCTCAACTACCGCGGTATGTAAGAGACACAAGAAATTCATCGCATAATCCCGAAACAACCCTTTTTTTTCCATTATTAATCCTGTTTTTAGTATCAGAACTAATACGTGCAAACTATGTTTTATCATTGTACGCGTTTCACTCGTATCGCTTATATTAGTCACCTAGGCGTTTTGCTCGCGCTGCAGTTGTCGGTTATAGGTTTGAAAACAAGTATTGTTACCAGATGTCTTGTTTACCTAGAACAGTGATTATAGTATATGCACAAAGTTCTAGGTGTGTCGCGGTTACTCACATTCTTTTTGTAACATATGACTACGAAATCGATAAAAAAATCTGTTTCAATAAACACTATTTTATTGGTTGATATTTTTTACATAATATAAGAGTTAGAAGCTGTAATAGTTTACTTAAGGATTTCGATTAATATTTTTAAACCCGTATAAAATATTTTTTATTATCTATAAGTGGAATTTATGGGCATTGGACATAATAGTGTTTGACATATATTAACTTATAAATTAGGTACCTATTAATATTTTTGTAAAGGTATAATTAATGTAGGTATATATTAAATTTCTATGTATATTAAATACTATTGGTAGTATAAAGAGTATAAATTAAATAATAAATTATATGAAATAAAACAGTTCATTAGCAAAAGGGAAAATGTTTATAGGTATACTGTGTAGGTATAGTCTGTATACCTATATAGTATATATATGTATATATTAATGTTATATTTGGTTGATGAGGTTTGTGTCCGATATAAATTGTAGTAGGTTAGGTTAGGCTTGGCAGATGTTCTTTTGGTTCTGGGCTTAAACTATTTAGAGCTTCCGCAAGGTGGTTGGAACTTGGAGATTATATTTAATATTATAATATAAATTTACATGTAACATGTAACTATCTATAATAGATAGGTTGCTAAATACCTAGTACTTCCTAGGTAAATGCCTGTGTATAATATGTCTATAATATCAATGCGATTACGTGTCGTTCATACAGTGGCGCAACCAGGATTCGTTTTCGGGGGGGGGGGGGGGGGGTTGTTGATAGTAGATTTGGAAAAAAAGAAATCATTTTCGACAGATGTTTGGTAGGGAAAGGGGGTAAGATTAAGTTAAGTTTATGAGTAAAATATTAAAACTAAAAATTAAACGGTTTAACTTCTATTTATAGATAGATGCTTGTCCAGTGACCTCCTTGACTTCTACAAACTGCAAAAAATCTTCTCGAATCTTTTTTTGCTCAGTATGGACGTATCTCGCACATATTGTCAACTGTTCTTTGTTTGATATATCAGTTGTTTCGTCAGCTAATACAGTGAACCCTTTAGATTTATTTATATCTTTTACAAGTTGTTTTAGAATTAAATTGTTACACACCATGAGAATCTCATTTTGGATTTTCCAACTAACATATAGTGCATGTTTAGCACTATTTTGTGGATGATCTTCAAGATCTTTATCACCAGAATCTACTCTTAACCTTAATAATTGTCTGAAATTTCCGTCATTATCATCATTAGTAACAGCCAATTCAGTACTTGTGTCATTTTGATTAATAAGTGGTTTATTTTCCCGATGACCTCTAAGTGCGATTCCCTGTCTACCACAAAATATAACAGTTTTAATTATTGGTAGAATGCATTTCCTATTTTTTTCTATTTCTTTTTAGTTACTACGATTTATAACTTTTAAAGTTGCAAAATTCAAAATTGTAATTTATATCACGCACCACGCCACCACGGTCTTAGAACATTCTAACATTTGAAACATTTTATCTTTTCACGCACACCGGCATCATATTGTGATACCATGAGTGATACCACAAAAAAAGTATTATACGACCGACTATCGAGAATCATAGTTGCAAGGAAATTGAACGTAACTCATGTTATATCACGGAATTCATGTTATATCATTGTTATCAATTATAATACGAACGAATCACGGTTATATATTTACAACCATAAACTAACTGCAACCGTGATATGAACATAATACCTTATACTGAGTATGATGTCTATCGTCTATGGATACGAATAATATTAATATTTCATATCAATCAGCCGTTTCGCGTGTGCAAGATAAACATTTTTTTTCCTACGTAGAATTTGTAAAAACATCAGAAAAATTTCGGGGGGGGGGGGGGTCACAACCCCCAACCCCCCCCCCCCTGGTTGCGCCACTGCGGTTCATAATATTTAAGTATTTTACGTAGGTAATACTTCATAATAAAATTAGAAATCATCATTAAAATTAAAATGCTAAATGAGTCGAAACTGTAATAGGTTAATATATTATAGGCAACAAATATTCGTAATTTAAACATAACTGATTACTTGTATCCGTATTTGTAAGACACAGGCACCATATTTTATTCTAGGAAATTAATAAATATTGTTCACGTTTAAAAAAAACAGAAATACATGTTATATTTAATACGCCGATTACGCGTTTAGTTAGGAAAACATACATAAATGATAAAATCGGTATATATATAAAAATAAAAACCATTATCTATGGGACTCTAAATTACACATCACGCATTTATTAAATGATTTCGACAGTATCGCAGACCGCAGTATACATATTATTATAAAATATATGTTTGTTTGGAAGGTACTGTACCAATAACTATATGACGTAGGTACTTAAATGTATATGTGTATACTGTATAGTGTATACTATATTGTATACGCTCGTCTGCGTCTATCCTTTGAACTGCCCTTGCGCTCGTTTGTAGTTGTTAAATTATTAATACAATATAATATATTATATAATATGCATGAACGATAAAAAATGTACCATTTTACTTAACGATTTGTCATCGATCAGAGCTAGATATATATACCTAATGGTGGAAAACTGTTTTTTTTTTTGTTTTCATTTAAAATAACTGTCATGAACACAACAATCGCGGGGAGGGTACATTAATTTATATACGTATACGATTATATTATATATACTGGAGTGTACAATGTAGTCATATACATACCTATAGGATTATATAATATATTACGATATTGATGTACAATATGGGTAAAACGTTTTCCGAACGATATCGGATGGCTTTGAAATCCACTTGCGCACACAATGGATCGACAGCAAAATAATGGGAACAAATTATATATTATTCTTTTATTTTTTTCGCCCACACGAAAACCGCATACGAGTTTTTATTGTTCGACCGGACATTTTTCAACAATGCGCGATAACATGTTATCGGTTAAAAAAATATAATATAATATATTATTATACCTATATAATAGTAATAGGAAAAAAATACTTAAAACCTATATCATGTTTCCCTCTGCTGCAGCAGCTCCCAAATACGTGCGTGCACACACATACATATGTATATGTATTATTTCGTTTCGAATACAATATATGTGTTTCCAGGGAGAATCAGCCACCCCTGCGACCGATCGAATTCGGTTAAGTTCACTTCCGGACTTTGGATTTCGCCCACAAACACGCCCTACTCCGTCGCCAGCGAGCACCCGCTCGCACCCCTGTAACCCCGCCATCGATAACGCACCACCGCCGGTTTTCTCAGCTCGTATTAACACACACACGCACACGTATATAATATTTATTATATAAGGGTTGAAATTTATAAAATATACCGCGTGGTATACGTATAATGGAACGGGCGCTCGCGAATAATGGATCCTGCCTGTATATACATGTGTGTATGTGTGCAGGGGGGGTGGTGTGAAAAAGGGCGAGCGATGAAGCGTACTTACCGTAATAATAAAGTGCGAGATATCATGCACTCATCCTATTGTGACGATTAAAGATGGCTGCCACCATTTAATAGGGACTTTGGTGGGGGGGATGGGGGCAAAGTGTGTGTAGCAGATGGTTTTTATATATTTTTTGGACGAGGCGGAACAGTAGTGGCAGCAGCAGGAGAATGATTTCCGAATATGATGTTGTTATGAGGGATATGATGTAGAGACTATAATATTATATTAAATATGTATTATATTTTATACATACTAGTCCTGCAGCCTGAAATTAGTTTTTGAACGCATATAATGTTATGTATACCTACTGTGTCTAAATTATATCGGGTATTGGTTTTGTTAGCGAATGGTATATCGAATATTATATACAGATGATAGTTATACTTATAACTAGATGTCTATATTATATATATTATATAGGGTAGAAACGCAGTACTGTTTTCCCATATATTAGGTACATACTATATATAGAGTCTATACCATGAGTTTACCTCCAGACGTGGAAAATATCTGTAAAACTACATTTTTTAATATCTTATCTGTAAAATGTATGTATTTTTTACAAATTACATAGGTGCCTTATATAAGTTACAACAGGAGGTTTTTTAATCCTCCGCGAGTGTCGCCGTTATGTGCAGTACCTAGGCAATTTCAATGCGGCATAATATAATCTTATAATATTCACATTAGTGTGTTTGGAGTTATATGTGTAGGTACAATAATAAGCACAACACGGTTTAAATATTAAGTCGAGTGCGCATGATTTTGTTTTTTATTATAATATTTGTGTTACACAATGGGGAAAAAAACCAAATATTCGAAAAAACTGTCTACAGGCAAATGTTTCCCCAGATGAGGTTTCGGGTGAGCGGTTTGAATCCAAAAACCAAGTACATCTTGTTGCAGGACATTGTGGCGTCAGACGACTACCGGTATAAGTTCCATAACAGGTATATAATAAATACACATAACTGCTGTGTATGTTCATAATATATTACATTATGTACCTAGTAATGTTGTCATCGTTTGTATATTATATTGTGTGAGCCGACTGCCGAGCTGCAGACCAACCCCCCCGCGGTCTAACTATATTATGCGTACACTGCAATATACTAACACTCAAACCGACTTTTATATTTTATTATTATTATTATTTGGTTCTGTTTTTACATTTAGTATGATAAACGCGTGTTGTTTTTTCCTGTTTTTTAGTTTCTTTTTTTTTTGTTTTGTTCGATTAGGCGGATGTTCCCCGCTTACAAAGTCCGAGTTATGGGGCTTGACAAAAAGGCCAAATACATACTGCTAATGGACATCGTGGCCGCCGACGACTGTCGCTATAAGTTCCACAACAGGTACAAAAAGTAAACAAATTTCAATCAAATGACTAATTTTTAGATATTATATAATGTTGTAAACAATATATTATATATATGTGGGATCATCGATGGTAAATGCATAACAATATTATATAATAAAAATTTGGTTATTTTTGATTATATTTACTTTTACTTAAAAATTACATTACATGATTTTAAGCTTTTTAGTAGTTGTCCATATTTTTAAAAATGAACTTGCAGTGACACGATTTAAATACATAATAATTTATACCTAATCATTGTAATATATTACTGTAGATTATATTAATATCTACTGAAAAATTCAAAAAATACTTGTACGATTTCATGGCGTTTTTGTTAAGTTAATGCGGTCATTTTATTTTATTTCATTAGTTACAAACCTGAAAGTCTTAAAAAAAACCGTGTGTGGGTTGATTTGGCTCAAATATATAATAATATGTTCTGTACATATTTTTATTATCTCACAGCATGATCATTTTTTTCTGTTTCTAACGTTTCAGCAAAATAATATTCAAACGCACGTTTAACATTTAATACTTCTCTTTTTCTTTTAAAATCAATCCACTGCAGTTTATAATGTTATGTATAATGTATATTTTCTTACTAAAATTGGCGTTTAGCGTTTATTAATAATAATAAAAAATATCAATGTACATATTCTGCTATTAAATTATTGATTTAAACATTTAACAACATTATATACTTCGATTGATTTTTTTTTTCTTTTCGTTTTGCTTTTTGCATTTCAAAGTTATTCTGTTTGTTTTATTGCATTAATAAATCATGGATTATTTAAAACCCGACACCCAATGCGTACAATGGCCCCTTTAATAATGTTTGTGTGTATATTAATCGTTATTTAGCCGATGGATGGTGGCCGGAAAAGCTGATCCGGAAATGCCCAAGCGAATGTACATACATCCCGATTCCCCGTCGACTGGCGAACAGTGGATGCAAAAAGTCGTGTCGTTTCACAAGCTAAAACTCACCAACAATATATCTGACAAACACGGATTTGTAAGTACAAACCATTTAATTATATATGATACACTGTAATATTTTATTAAACACATCTCTATATGTTTCTCTCCGTAACCCCGTATAAACTAAAAAGTATGCAACGAAACCCTCCTGTCACAATACGCGCATTCGGTATGAAGTTTGATAATGTAGGCGATAGGCCATAGGCCTGAGTAAGTAGACTTTTGAGTGTAGATTTTGTACCAGAATAATTAAACATGAACGTTCATTTTCGGCCAGTGTATACCTACTGTATTCCCTGCGGACGGAAATTTTAATTCAGTAATACATTTAATTTTTGTGGTATTTTCTTTTATCTTCATACTATTTTCCGTATAAATACTCGACCGTTATTGGAGATATATAAGTAATTGAGTATGGACTATACATAAATAATTGAAACAGATGGACGACGTGTTTAGTACTGCATGTGGTAAGATTTATCACAACTATTTCGATCATAATATTATATAAGTTATGTGATATCACTTTATGACACTATAATATTATGACCGTGTTTAGTCACGCAGTTATTCAGTAAATGTGCTACTTACTATTTAGTATTGTAACTGTACGACATACTGTTATACCTATATCTACAAGTGCTGTTTCACTATATGATTTATATAATTATATTTATTATGACGTACATGACACTGCGGCGTTATAGTAGGAACCAATACCAGCGGTTAACCAATACTCAGTGGCGTATTATTAGGGAGGAGAATATGGATGGTCCTCTTATATCCTTGTTTTACATTTATTTTTTGATATTTATGCATGGCTTTTTTAATAACAATAATATGTTATTTATTATTAGACAATAACAAAATATCAATTAATCATCCCCCCCCCACCGAGAGGATTTCCAGTTATAGTAAAAATCCTAAATAAGCCACTTATGTCACAAACTCACAAATACGAAGAAATTAAATTATATTTTGATGTACGTCCGTGCGATCGACGATGGCTGTAATTAATGAACCCGTTTATAATACATTATAATAATATATATTATACATTTAATATTATGTACCTACCTATAATATAATATATATTAACGATTTCCGACGACCGTGGGAACGGGATTCGCGCGCCACGGAAAGCGAGGCGACGATTTGTTTGTCTGTCCTGTTTATTTTCTAAAATATATAGGCTAAAAAGGGAAAAAAAAAGGTGGGCGGGCGACACCCTCGGACGCGCGAGCAAATATATACACACGGCCGACGCCGCGCCGACTTTGCGCAGTTGGCACAAACTTAGCTCGGGGTGCGCGGCGGCGCATTTCAGCTGCGCGCCGCCGGCAGTAGCGCCGCTACGTGTCTACCGCATATACGATAACATAGAGTTTTCTCGGGGGCGTCGGCTTGTATATACATACACGCGGCGTCGGCGGCAGCAGCGATACATAGTGTCGTTAAGTGTTTCACAAGGGTTTTGGGTGAGTGCGGGAAAACATTCCGGTCGTTGTTTTATTTCAGATTTTTTTTTTTTTTTTCCCCCGTCCGTCGGTGGGGTTGACACCAAATATTTGCTCGTTCAAAATACTTAAAAGGGTCGATTTAAGCGGCTGTCTGTTTGTGTGTGTGTGTGTGTGTGTGTGTGTGGAAATCCGATGTCACTCCATATATAACGTGTCTATATACAGTGTACCTATATATATATATACACACGCAAGTATGTACCGCGAGCGGCGCGGCGGCTGCTTCTTGTGTGCGTCTCGGGTTAAAACAATTTATATATGATATTTCGTGTACGCTCACACAATATTATATACATATACAGTTGTATACATACGCAGAGAGATTCGACGTGATACGAGATTTTTATAGATGTTCAATTAACACGGGTTCCCGCTGAGAACCAGACTTTTTCTATTAATTAGGGTGCTGTCGCCAATAGTCATTAAACGGTGGCGGCGCACGAGGGTATATATATAAATATAATATATAATAATAATATAATATACGTGTGGTACAGCCGCCGCCGCCGCCAGACGGGTCCAGTTGAGTGCCTAGTCGCCACCCCCACCCTACCCCGCCGCCTCGGTCGTCGTCATCATCGTCGCCGTCGTCGGTCGTCGCCTTCCGACACCTTTTTAAGACGATCCTTTATATTTATGTGTACGTGTGTGTTTCATATATAACGTTTTTGTGTTTTAAAACAACCCCGTCCACCCCTCCGCGCACGTACTACTAGACAAGCGCTAAAATCTTCGATTTATGAGCACCCGCCGACGGTGTGTAATACCCGTGTAAAAATGAAAAAGATAAGACGCACGCACCGCCGCTGTAGATACAAACTCCGTCTCTTCTCTTTCGGCATTTATCGCAAACGTATATTATTTTGTCACACACCCCTCCGACAATGAGCGAACAGCAGTTACATTACTAATAACAACAATAATAATAATATAATGTACATATTCTAATGGTTATACGTCGTTTAATTTTAATTTTTACATTTACCTGTAATTTACCTGTATTATATGGATACCACGTTATTTTATTGTCGTTTCATTTTTCGTTTCATCGGTCGAGCCACCACCTACTAAACCTAAAACCCGTACTAGTGCGAGCTTGTAACAACATTTATAATAGTGGATAGGTCGGAGGTATATACATAAAATTATTATCATCGTATCGTATTTAATATTACGACGTGCCCTTTGATGTCTTCTCCGGCCAAAAGCGCTCTCGAATTCCTGTCCACTCAAAAGAAATCGGCAGTCCCGTGGTGTTACCCGCGGGTCGTATATCAAGTCCTGCGTCAGCAGTCGTATAATTTAGTGTAGGGACCTTTTTCTTTTTTGAACAGCGGACATTACTGCTTTTGCATTGCTTTCAACCCAATAGTGTAGATACCTGCCGCCTATATACCCGTGTTGTATATATATACACTATTGTATTTGTATAGGTAATAATTTGTTCTATTATATCATATCGGACGCGGATCGCCACGCAATTTCCTCAAAAAAAAAAAATTCCTGACCTGTCGGACAAATGTTATTGTCACGTCCGACAAACGACGAGGAATAATAATAGGTAATGGAAAATATATATGGGTACCGCAGACAAACACAATATATAGTTTATTGTAATACGGCTCAGTTTTTGTATTTTATATATAACAGTTGCGGTCGACCGAGATATACGTAGATGATAATAATATAATATTATATCCTTTGCGGCGGTGGCGGCGGTACACTTTGGTGGATGACCGTTTGACCGGAAAGTCGACACGTATAGTTTTCGGCGAGCAAATAAACATCACTGGCGACGGCGGTATCCTTTTTCTCTTGTCCTAAACGAATAACACACACACTCACAAACAACACACCCCGCAGACCCTTCGGTGATAATAATGTGAATTATTGGGTCGTATGTACCTGACACCGCGCCGCCACTGTCGGTGGCGCCTGCCTGCGACTCAAGTGGGTATGTCACCTCCACTGTCGTCTTCTATACCCGCTATATGTATTATACATATTATTATACGTCCCTCTGCCCGTGTACACACATCGTACGATAATGTATAATATATTCTATTTAACACGTTTTTTGCTTAAAACGCTGCATATACATCATATATGTGGTACTAACCTAACAAGAGGTATATAAATAGTATTTCGTCGTAACGGAAATCGGACGAGGCGCCTAAATTCGCGACGAGACTGCTGCATGCTGCAGATGCCATTTTTCTCGAGATGAGGAAGTCCGCCGACTGTACGGACCGGATTTCTGGCGTCTATATACACAACATTTATTATAGTTCATCGTGTACTGAACACATCATCGTAAAATTCGGAACACACACTATACCTAGTATAATACACTCACGATCTCTAAGATTCCGCAGTATATATTCTGTGACCTGCACGGAACGTGCGCGTATATAAGTGGCAGCCTTTAAAATTATTTCCATATACTATGTATGTGTTTGTCTGGCGTGGATCCAGAACATATTATATTAACACTTTTGAGGGGCACCTTTATTGAAATTCCAGCTTAAGCCTGATACAAAAATTACTGTTTCTCGCATATTTTACCGATGTGTACCTACCAATATTGATTAGCGATCATTCTAAAGTGAGGAGGGAGCGATCGCCCCTTGGATCCACGCCGGGTGTTTGCACTTTGGATTTCGTGGCTTTCGTGGATATATCTACACACTCCTATAATACCCGCGAATGAGCCTCTATACCCTTTTCTGTACCTACTCACTTTTGACGTATCACTCGTGGTATACACGCAAGCTTCGAAAGCATCGAAAAAAAGGCTGCTAGACGATGCCAATATATCATACCTATTGGCTATATTCGTGTACCTATACTATAATTTATAATAAACTCGAATTATTACCAAGTAAAACAACGTGTAAACAAAACAAGCGTCGGTGATTTTTGATTTACCGCCCGGTCTATTGCGCAGTTCCGCGCATTTATTTTTGTTATGAACGAGAACATGCGTATTTGTTCTCGCCGCGAGCCTCACGTCCTTCCCACGCATTTGTCGATAGACAGCACACTCTTGAAAATTTTAACAGAAATCGGCGACATTATAATTTATAATTTTAATAATAATATATAATGCTCTCTCGCACCTGCGGAAAACCAATACAAGAGTGCGTACGATGTTATTATTATAATACACTATACGGCGAAACATATGTAGGTTTAAGGAGGAAACTGGTTTTAAAATTACCAAAACCAACATTTTTATTAACTTACATACTATTTAATTTATGGAAATTGGTACGAGTACATCGAAAAGCTATGTCGATTATAAATAGGTGATGTATAATTGCTCGCCTACACTCAATTTTAGAATTAATTGTTTTCATTATAATTCCTCGCTGTTAAAAAAATATCTAATTAGTTAAAAAAAATTAATATATATATATGAAATGTTTTAATAAAATCCTTTAAACCTATAATTTAATGTAACATCACCACGTTAAAAAATATGTTTTATAATAAAATTCTTATAATTAAGACT